TCCTTCCACAACTTATCGTGATACTATGATTGTGATAACTTTTTCTGTAGCAGGTACACCCACTCCCTCTGCGCACTCGAAACCGCTTTATGAGGTGCTCGAGTCACACCTTAAGGGGCAGGGTGGAGTATCCTTCGAATTGTTGTTTTAGGAGAAACAGCGGGAAATACTGATGCTGAGATTGCGTTGCCTCACTTATTTACTGGTCTGAAGTGTTTTACGCTATTCTGTGGAAATATGCCCTCTTCGACCATTCCCTGTTACAGGACAGCGCTGACGTCGCTGATGTAGGTAGGAACGTGCCCAGAAGAGAAAAGACCGGGAGCCGCTAGTCATGGGGAGGCGTTATTCTACATCTAGGCTTCTAGGCCCTAATTATATGGATATACAACACTGAGATTATGGAATAGTATCCTCAAAGCGAGAACCTCTAATCTCATTCACTGACCCAAGACACCCGCTGGTGGGCTGATGAAAGCCGCTGAAAGCAACCAAATTACAGAGTGCTAACAACTGTTTCATGGCCCGTTACGAAGGGCGGCGGAGGCGTAAAACGAGTTAGGATTGAAATCGAAATTGAGACCGATTTGGCGGATGTATAAGTAATTACTCCATATCAAATAAAGTCGAATAGCTCTCTGGAGAGCTGACAGCTGGCCCTTACGACACTTACTTGGCCGGTAGGTCGATTCTTGCCTGGGCAGCACATGGAGCAGCCCCGTGGGCGTGAAGAGCTACAAATGCATCACAATCGTCGAGTAACAAGGTGAGACTCTGAAATAAGAACTCAGTCATGGTTATAATGCCTTCAAGATCGCCAGCAGTCAGTGAACTTACCCGATCGTAGAAGATGACATGGACGGTGTGCCATTCACCATCGTTCACCCGATTCTTCCGTTCATTCTCCATACGTAATGCCTTCGTTGGACCGCCAAGTGAAAATTCTGCTCTAAGAATACGGTCCTGGATGGAAATCTCGATAAAATCCGAGTTACGATCTCCGGAGAACAGTATGACACCCTCGTGAGCGATTGTAGCAAGCCTGTAGGGAACATTTAAGTAGAGCTGGTATAATCAGAAAAAAAACGCCGACTTTTCGAGTACATACCTGAAGCTTAGCTGCCATTCGAGCCTGCCTAGGCCCTTATTGATGTTGACTAGTCCTCTGCCTTCGAATCCCAGCACACGAAGCCGACACCGTTCATCCACATCTGTGGGACCATACCCACAATACTTACAGACCATTTCTCCGTTGATCAGTTCACAGATAGAACCTCCTTTACA